TTACACCCTTGCTTCTTTTTTATATTCTGTATTCTGTTTTGGATAACCTTAAAATCAAAGAAAAGTCTTCAAAATCGTCATCTGAAATCATCTCTTTCATTGGACTCTAATCTAACTTTGGCTGCAATCTCTGTGGACGATAACTCGGTACTTGTACCACTTATTACTTGGAAAGGCGACGTTGGACCGTATTGTATACTTGCTTTGTGACCCAATTTCAATTAATCTAGATGTGTGAAATATAACCGACCAGGTGCATAGGCATGCACCAGCCTCATCCCACCCTCATGCTAATTCCATTCAACAATTTATCATTGGACCAAAATTCCAATTTCACAAGGAGGTTACCAATTAATTCAAATTGGTCCCTTATCTTCCATCAAGTTGTATATTTTATTCCCAAACTTCCATTGTTATTTATTTTTGAAATCCGACCAACTATAGCATAACACCGAACATTACAACTAATACCCGTAATAATTAATTTTTATTAATATTTAATAATAATTTTTATAATTAGTAACAGTTAATATTAAGTGTTATAATTGGAAAAAAAAAGTCAAAAAACTGCTAAAACACTACGAACTAGCATTTCATTAAGTTAATTTATGTTCAACTAAACGTCTACTCAAAAAATAAGTTTGTTTATAAATTATAGTATAAGCTAACTTATATTGGCCAACCATTAATTAATTCCAATGTATATAAACATGATTTTTATGTTTGTGTGTTTTAGTTTTGTAACTTATATTGTACAATATTATAAATGCTATAAAATAGATAAAAAAATCTATATTCAAATCAAACATATGAATTTTGTTCTCCCAAAAATATAATTTTATAAGTTCAATGATTTATATTGATTTTGGTATTTGAAATTTAATCTCAAAATTAAAAGTAAATCGCACGTTTATCCCGTTTTCATTTGTTTTTCATATTGAAATTAAAAGTATTTTCAACACCAAACAAAAGTATTTAAAAAGGAATTTTAATGGCATATATTGCATAAATTCCCTTGTTTAATTATATATTTTATCATATGAAAAGAATAATTTAATTAATAATTGTATCCATAATTTGCTTTAGAAAATGGTGAATATAAGTATCAAGATAAGTGATGAATCCAGTTCTTAAATTTTAAGTCATTTTTATATTGTATTTACAATTTACAGTGGTTGTTTCATGATCTTTAAGTTCCATCTTCCATGTAGTAAAATTGAAGTCACCAACCATGAATCATGATCCATCATTTTGCCAAATTAAAACATAGAAAATGACTACAATACCCTTACAAACCAGACTGATTTCAACAAAAATTTGTAATACTTAGGGGCCGTTTACTAAAACGCTTACCCGGTAAGTACTTATCGGGTAATTTTCCTTATCGGATGAACATGACAAGGGTCAAGAATCTTACCCTGTAAGAGCAATGATAAAGATGGAGAGTCTTACCCGGTAAGTGAGAGTGACAACTCTTACCCGGGTACGCGCTTACCAGGTAAATTGTTGCATAAGATACGTTTTGATGTATTACTATCTTACTCATTAAAATAAATTATAGTGTTGAGTCCTAATGTTAAGCACTTACCGGGTAAGCATTTTGGTAAACGGCCCCTTAATAACATGAAAAGTAGTATGATTAAACGTAATAGTTCCATTTCCACCGAGGGGTTCCTCATCAAATCATCATCAGGGAAGAGCACTAAAAAATTAACGATAAAAAGTTTATTCTTATTTTGATTTCATCGTTAACAGAGCTTAATTCTTTGATTCATCTTAAAAGTGATCCACTTTTTATCTTTCTTTTTTCTTCTTCTTATCATGCGAAATAAAGAAACCTTTTATGATCGACATTTCCATGATGAACACATTACCTATAACTACTACTGAACCCCTCTTGCCATAGCATATGTATCGTATCATTACAATGAGACGTATACAAATTAATTTACGCAAGCCAGATGCCTCAGAACTTGTTTGTTTTAGTGTACAAATGAGCACAAAGCAGATATGTACAACAAAGTACATGATAAAAGAATGTGAACTCCGAATGAGACGTAGATTTTGAATTTCACTGAATCATCTACTGTCATCGGACTAACATCCTTGAGATGATTCGAGTCAAGGGCGTAGCAAGAATTATAACTTAGGGCGCTTGAAGATCTTAAGTTTAACTTGTGGATTGAAGTTCTTCAGGCAAAAGGTCTCAATATATGTTATCTGTTTTCTACCTTCGCCTCTGCTCTGAGCCACAATTCTCTATATATACGATGTACTAGCCTCATGTTAGAACGACTCTCATTTAAACCATGCATATAGAAAAAAGTGAATTGTAGTTGATCGGGATTTATATTACTAATTGAACTTCTTGGCTACTAGCGTTGCACCTTAGTGATTTTTGATTGAGGTGGTGGATCCAACTAGATCGTTATTTTCAGGTGAAAGTCTTTGCCACCTTTATCTTTCAATTGATGTATTTAGAAAATTTTAAATTAACGTTTTTTCCAGATTTGAGGATGTTATAAGGTTAAAGACACCCAAAAGTGATTAACAACTTATGAACGAAGCTTTAAACAAAAAGAATGAATCGTAAGCTAAAAATCTAGAGAGAATATAATCTTTGTGATATGTGAAAAAATGAATCTGACATGAGCTGGAAACGATGAGACTGCCGTTTATATAAGAATTTCATAATTGCTGAGATAGTCCTTCAACTTTGTAGTATATTGCTTCGCTACCCCTGTATTTTTTCAATAGTGAGGCACACCCCTTGTACTTGACATCCACACTTTAGTATAATTGCAACATTATCCCTTCAACCTCTAAACTGTTATAAACAAGATACAAAAGTAAAGATTGTTAGATATAAAGATATCTTTTAACAATTTTCTAACAAACTTTGCTTGAACAATCGTATATAGCTAGTATGCACCATTGTAATTTCAAATATGTGTGAAATTTATCTTAAATAAATCAGACGTTTGCTAATACAGGATAATGATAACAACCCCTGAATATCTATACATAATCCTAACACTCTCAGTCGTCGATCCAAACATGGCCAAAAGACATTTTACATTGCAAAAGTTACATTTAAGGCCAAATATAATTTTACAACTCAACATTGATCACTAAAATGTCATAAAAGTTGAAAACAAATGCTAAAATACATATTTTAAAGTCATGCTCGAATCAAACTATCAAAACTTCAAAGAATATCTTAAAAATTCTAAAAACCTTTAACGTCGTTAAATGAAGTGAATTAAACATATGGGTTATTCACTCATTTGACTCAAATTCGATCCCAAACCAAGTCTATATCACAACCAACCCAGGACGTGCACGACGTTACTACCCGACAATGTATGGCCTTAAGCACATTGTCTAGCCACAAACAAAGCCTAAGTTCAGCTTCTGGTACACAGGTTATACCTATTCCAAAATTTGATTTGTTGCTAGAATCAAAACCTGGTAGCAACAATCATTGATATTGCCAAGTTTTAGACTTTAATTGGACCAATTCTACGTCGTATCACCTTAGTCGTTTTACAAATTTACACATGCAAGATTTTACAACCCTAATTTTAAGTTTACAAACTCACAATTTTGTAATACCATTATGTCAATGGTGGTAAACTGAACTCCTCCACATTCGGCCAAACTTGCTTCCAATACATACCAATACGAAACAAAAAAACAGCAAGTAGATGTTAAATCCTAATTTCATAACGAACACAAAGATTGGTTTTAGAGTTGTTTGAAAACCTCTAAATGAACGTTTTCATTAGAAAGCATTGACTAAGTTATAGGTATGCGTATTTCATAAACTCATAATTAACAAGGTTCCAATCAAGTAGTGTTTCCTCATTTTTCTCTAGTTGATGTTGATCGAGTCAACAAATTCCCCCTCTTTCTTTATTTCATGTCGACACTCAGTAATTAGCAAACAAGTACCACTTGGTATTTAACCCAAAGTCGATGATCGAACTTTTAGTCACACCACCATGCATGCTCCTTTGCTGAATTTCTTTCAAATCTTGCCATTTTTGTGTCTATTTTGAATGAAAATATGCTTCGATTGGAGTAGCTTTTCCTTCATCTTTTTACTTTGTATTTTGTTGATTTTTTTTTGGACGAACGAATATTTTGTTGATTTTTTTTGGAAAGAATACTTTGTTGATCATAGACATATGTCTATAAGAATCCCAATTAAGCTACGCATACAACCACCACACACCATGTGCTACAAGAAAAAAAGGTCTTCAAAAAACAAATTTCCTTTTTCTATTCAGAAGTCTGAATACGTTACTACAAATTGTAATAACGTTTTCTCATTTGTTTTCAATACCGTGTTGGAAAGATGCTAAAGGTTTGAAAATATCATATGAAGAAGTTACAAATAGCCCCTCAAGTTTGAGAGGTTTAACACTTGGCCACCTAAACTATCCGATAACTAAACACGGTTCCTAAACTTTCGAAATTTGGTAGCTCACGATCAAAAGTCCTCCGACACGATCAGTCCTAGTCGTTGTGCTGCGGTCCATTTCTTGGCTTCGGTTGCATGATTTGCACTTCTGATTGTATTGCTTTCCGCAACGTCCTTAACTTTGAAAATATACACTTTTAGCTCCATTATTAACATATTTATATTCGTTTTAGCCCTACTTTTTATATTCTGAATATTTAATTTCAAACGTCCAAGACTTTAGACAGAGAAAAATGCAATTCTACACGTTTATAAATGTGTAAATATTTAAGAACATTGTGCTACTAATACTACACCATCAATAAATAAATAGATTTTAAATTCTTTTGCATATTTTATTATGTTTTTTTAATTAACCTGGATATCCAATTCGTTATACGAGCTGACTAATCTCAGTGCGACCACCTATTTTGTAAATAGCCCGGAGTTACCGCATTTGAACCTCTATGGTCCCAAAGGGATTTTTATTTCTCCTTGAATTTGAATATGGAACCTCCAAGTACTTTTGACCTTCAAAGTCAAATTCAAACCAATTAAACACCACCCTTATGTTATTTTATAATGTTTTTTTAATCATCAATAAATTAGTAAAAAAATATCAACCAGAAGAAGCAAAAAATTATATTTAAATAATTATCTTTTGGGTCTAAAAAAAACATTTTATTTATATTTTTTGTACGTTGCCAACAAGAAACTGAAATCACACACAATCTTAAGATACGACTTTCAAAGGTCAACACTTCTCCATTTCAATGGGAGTTGATGATTTGCCCTTAACATCTTTGCACCAAGCTGCACATACCAGATAAATCGCAAAATTTATACCACTCATAACGGCCACCAATCCATAGAAGCAATCAAGCCTTCCATCGTTTATGTTGTCGGCGAGCCACCCATCTCCGCCATTGTTTCCGGTGACTTTCTTGATTACAGACACCAAGAAACTGCTCATGAAAAACCCCAGTGACAGCGTTGTTAGGAACAGACCGGTGCTCATTGTTTTCATCCCTTTTGGTGATCGGGTGATGAAGAAATCAAGCTGACCGGTGTATATGAAGGCCTCGCCGGACCCCACTAAGAAGAACTGTGGGATCAGAATAAAGACACTGATCGGAAGAGGCTCTGTCGTCGAAGTGGTGTGCTTCCCAACCACCGATAATCTTTTAACTTCCCCGACTGAGGCTGCCGCCATTCCTAGCGCCGAGAGGGCGAGGCCTATTCCGATTCTTTGTAAAGCAGTGAACCCAGGTGTGCCTTTCCATTTCTTCCAAAGTGGAATGATCAGACAATCGTAGAAGGCGCAGGTGAGCAAGATGGCGGCCACAAAGAAGACAGTGAGGGATCCGGCGGGGATTTGGAAACCACCAACGGATCGTCGCATGGTGGCCGCTTGCTCAACGGAAAAGGTGATCATCTGTGCATAAGTAGTCCAAAAGAGAATTGTCGTCGCCCATACAGGCAGCAACCTCACCATCATCTTCACTTCCTCCACCCTGGTCACCGTGCATAGCTTCCATGGATTCCGAGAAGAACTCGAAGCATTTTTCTCAAAATCACTTTCTGCTACTATGGCAGCCTTGTCCAAACAACTAGAAGGAACGAAATAAGTATTAGCCACGATTAAATATAAACGACAGTACAAGAAAGAATTCTGAGTTTTTAACGATGGTTTAGAGATCAAAGAAACATACCAAAACTGATCTGTGTGATGGATTCTTGAACCCTCTGGGGTGTTATCGTATAACAATCCAGAATCATAAGGAAGATCCATCTTTCTTTTCTTTATAGAAGCAACGATCACTTGGAAAATTTGAACTATAGGGCTTCCGACACTCTTTTTGTACCGATACCTTTTAGTCCCATACAAGATCACTATGATAGCAGTGAACATCGAGACGGAACAAATTCCGTAAGCCCAACTTCTACCAACTTCATCTTGTATGTACACAAGCACCGTAACCGCCATCAAGGTTCCCAAGCTTATAAAGAAGAAGAACCTATTAAAGAAATACGCCATTTGTGTCTTTTCTTCTTCGTTTTTCTCGTCAAACTGATCCGTTCCAAATCCCGACACGCTGGACTTCAGGCCGCCTGTCCCAACGGCTATCAGGTACAAAGCAAGATACAAGATTCCCATTTGGAAACCATTAGCTTCTTTGCAGTTTTCAGGGGAGTGGCACTGCGGCGGCCTGAGCTGTGGCAGTTTGGTCGACAGTGCCAACACAGCCGTACCCTAAACAAAACGGTAACACAACATTCAATGATCCACGATTGGTGATATAAAATGAATGCAACAAGTTAAGTAGACCTTAATTACCAGGGTTTGAATAGAGGAAAAAATGACAATGGTTCTAAATCTGCCAAGAAAAGAGTCGGCTAAAAAGCCACCAAGAAGGCACAAAAGGAAAGAAGTTCCCATGAAATCAGTGACGACATTGGCTGAAGTTGAGCTCGAGAGATGCATTGTTCCACCCAAATACGTCACCAGGTTTACTGCTATGCCCATTGTTGAAAGCCTCTCGCATATTTCGATTCCTGTTTGACCAAATAGTCACAAGTCAAGATTCATGGTTGGCTAACTAGGAATCAAGAAAACATGATTGGTTATAAGAATTTAATTGTCTATATTCATGTATGATCTACTGTTGGATTTGCAGAATTTAAGGAACAATTCTCAGATATATACACAGTGAAATGACTTTCTGGTTGTGAGCGGACATTTGCCTTTAATTTTATCTGAAACGTCATTGAATTTGTTGGTTTTAGAGGACAAGTGTTTATCCCTCGCAAATGCAAAAAGCCTAAAGAAGGGGACTTGGGATCATGAACTTCTTGACTCTATGAATTACTTATCAGAAGTATATACCAATTAAATTTATATGAATACAGATCATATCATTCACTATGGTGCCTATCGCTTTCTGGTTTTCAGACAGTACAATATGCACGTCAGCTTAGCTAGAAAGAAGCCAGGCCGGCGGAAAATAGACTTCCAATGAGATAGTGTGTGGTGTCATTTTTGAAATCGACTTGTTCGTTTACAGAAAACCCTAATCTTGAACCCTGATCAAGAGGGTGGCATGGTGAAAGATTTGAACTTAAAACAAAACCTCACACTTGTATATATTACGCAAAAGCCTAATCGCGGCTGGTATATATATATATATATATATGTATATATATATATATATATTTATTTATTTATATATGTATGTATGTATGCATGCATGCCAGAGGAATGAGGAATGCAGAGAACCCTAATCATAGAGTAAGCTCTAGCACTGAGCTATGCATGCATACATACATACATATATATATATATATATCCCTTCATTCGTTTCACTTAGATGCTGTTATGTGGAGCAGAAAGGCCATGTACTGAAAGATTCGAGCAAAAAGTCCCACATTTACTTGATGTAGAAACCTAAACTGGCTAAATGCATGATAGAAAAGGAGAATGAACTGACCTAGGATGAGGGCAGCAGGCACCCAACCACCTGTTTTCGACCTATCAGCAGGATTTCCCTTGTAATCTACAGCTCCGTCAACGATCAAACTGACCTTACCCTCCTGAAAACACATACGAAACAAAAGTCTTTTTAAGCCATGGAACCATATATTACATGAAAAAGAAAACTTATACTTTGAAAAAAATTAGGGTTTATATGAGTCAGTCATGCTAACCATGATCTTTCCTTTCTCCAAGTCTTATGCAAAGAGTTCGGAAATCGAAAGAGAAAACCTACTTCTTTATCATAGAAGAACCTGTCTTTATATAGGCAAAAGGTTGAAATTTCTAGTGACATTCCATTACCCTTTTGTGACAGATCATGATCTTAATTAATTGGTAAAGAGTATCCCTACCCCATCTCCATCCAAAGATTCTAGGACGGTGTTCACACTAATTTTTCAAAAAAGACCAATAAAACCACACTGATCAATTAACGGACCTTCGCAGTCCATTAGATGATAATCAAGTCTCAACCACTTAAGTTACCGATGTACTTGACACTAATATCCTAGTATGTATAGAGAGGGAGGTTCAAATGAGAAACGTAACCAAACAATAGAATACGAAAACGGTTAAATCACATGCAAAATTACATGTGATTTTACACTAATAGTCAACACATGGTGTGCTAGCGACATGGCTCATGACCTCTGGTCTCGGCCAAAGTCATATGAATTAGATATGATTCAACTTTTTTTAATTTGGTTACTGTTCTCGTGTATATATACATATATATATATATATATATATTCAATATCTTTTCAATTTAATGGATGGAAGTAACAACGGATGTACTATTCCGTCACAAAAAGAAAACTAAAGTTGATGTTGAATTTTAGTGGGAGGACTGTGGAAAGAAGAATCTAGAACTGTAGAACATGTATTGTCAAGCATCTCTCTTGCAAACTCATAAATTTCCTTAAGGTTATCATGTATACGGTACGTGTTATTTTCAAAGTTCTGTGAACCATAAAATCATAATAAGTATAGATAATGCTACACCCATATATTTTCTTCATCATTGTGCTTCTTCTACCCCACATAAACTAAAGCCTTCTCACCATTTTATGTTAATCGCTTGGGAAAAAGTGTTAATGAGCAAATGTTGTGATTGTGTTACATGGATGAATATGTGCCATATATATATATATGCAGCTCTAAACATGTTTTTGATCTGTTAGCCAATAGTGACCACAAGTAGTTCTTTAAACGTAAAGTCATTTTTCAAGAGAATTTGTTGTGTTTTGACAACCGTCTATTTCGAAATGTCCAACATGCTCAACTAAGTACTTAGTTGGGAACTAATACCATCCTAGAGATGTCGACATTGATAAATGCGAATGTTGCAAAATTAAGAACACACACACACACATATATATATATATATATACATGAAGAATCATTAATTCTATACTTAAACTTGACCAACTAAAACGAAAAGGGCGTAATTTAATTTCCTTCAAGATTAATGAAACTTTCGAGCGACCAAGACCATTATAAATGTAACAATATTACCAGAATCTCCGTTTATGAAAATTGTCGAATTGATTTCAGATAATTATCATGCACCTATAAATATTTCCTTTCAAAAGACTAAAACTAAACCATGGCCGAGAAATCAAATCTTCGCTATGCATCTATTAACTCACCCATGTCCATTTATTAAATTAACGATACACCGGTATGAATAGGGTTGAGGTTTTCAAGAAAATAGTTGATCTACTCTTTGAAGGTAGAGGACATGTATATGTAGAGTCTCACCCTACAAGACTGCACCTCTAGAAGAGATATAGAACTCGTTAATTCGGTTTGATTACGCATGTATAATTAATTCATTAAGATCCAAACTCATAAACTATTTTAACTACTTACAGGAAGATTCATATTGATGTGACTTGTGTCAATTGTAGCAAGTTCTTTGAGACTATATTGCAATATTCTTATATATGATTTTGTGTCAAATTTAAGTTTTGAAATTGATCGAGTGCACACCCATGTTTTATAATTCAGACGATTTTAATTCTAGCATGCATTGTGATATTCTGCTTAAAGGTGTGACTGACTGGTTACAAGTTGTAATGCAAGGACATAAGGTATCTTCAAGTTAGTGGTGGAATTCGAAAGTTACAAGATCTAAACAGTTGAAGGTGTTCATGACTTGAATGATGAGAAAGGCAGATGCCATATATAGTAAAAGTATTGCTATCATGTATAAAAGGAACCTTTTTGATGACCAATTTAAGAACAATATTTAATTTGTTATCACGAAGTCAAATTAATAATGCAACTCTATCTTGGTCTTGATCAGTGTTTTAACTGTGTGATCGTATGTCACATTAGTGTTTGTAATGTATGTAGACATATATATATATATATATATATATATATACACACTAGTTGTGTACCCGCGCAATGCGGCGGGAGCCATGAAATTTAACGATTTTGAAGTTCCACTGGTTTTATAAGATAAGATTTAACGATGATATATGTTACACTTGGTCTTTACATATTAATACAATTTGAATAAATAAGAGTTATGGTTCCAATTACAGACTATCGATTAAAAAAATTGTATGACAGTTTAAAATCCAATATAATTAAAATCTAACATATTTAAACAACTCCACAAATGTATTCGATTTACACCAAGAAACTTGAGTTTTAAGATAAACACTCAAAACCAATAAAGAAAACTATAAATTTGACAGATCATAAGCCATGAAAAGACAAAAAAAGATGGGTTTTAGAATGAAATTTCAACTGCTTACACTCTTTTTTTTGTCCAGAAACTCAGATTAATGTTGAATTAATACATACATATATATATTTCAAAAAAACCTAAGAACATATTAATTCAAAACATATTATACAGTGCAATTTGGACAGCCTAACCTAAAATATATTGTATATATATAAATAAATAACTATAAAAGTATAAATCGTAAATATTAAAAATATTTTTTTACAGTATATATAATATATAATAATATAATTAAGTCAAACACTATTCAATATTGAACTCATTTCGAAGGTATTAACGAGACGATTATAATGGTGTAATTTGTTAAAATAAAAATGTATTTTTAAACATGTTTTAATTTATATACGATTATGTATGTTAATTTAATAAAAGTTTAAAATGAAACATTTAAAAGTAAAGGACGTAAAGTAAATTAATTAATTAATTATAGGGTTATAAAATGTAAATTTAAAATTATAATTTTAAAAAAATGGTTTGTGAGAGGGTGAGTGTATGTGAAGAGAGGAGGGGGTGAAAAAGTGAGTATAAAGGGTATTTTGGTCATTTAGTATTTTAAGACTTTAATATTTTTGCTAAATATGCTTAATAAGATAGTATAGATATATAGACTTGGGATCAAGTGAGACCAGCCTGTTTTCGTGAGACCCGTGAGACCAACTTTTTACACTTGAAACTTCACAGCAAAATGTTGTGCTGTGAAGGGAACCTTCACAGTGTTTTTGCTGTGAAGTTTCAAGTGTAAAAATGTGGTATCACGGTCTCACGAAAACAGCCTGGTATCACGTGAACCCAACCCTATATATATATATATATATACACACACACACACAAAGAGAAAAAAATTTAAACGAGAACGCTAACTATTTAAAACACAAGAAAAATGTCGTTGATGTACAAAATCACATGTGATTCTACATCAACATCAAACAAAATGGAAGTAGATGACTTTTAAACTTGTATGATTTGTACGTGAATATATATATATATATATGTATATATATATATATGTATATATATATATGTGTATATATATATGTATATATATATGTATATATATATATGTGTGTGTGGGGGGGGGGGGAGATTCATTTGAGAATTGGTAAGCATTTGTAAAGTAAAAAATGATAGGTCAACATTTGCGGCTTTGACAATGAAACACTGGATAATTCCTCGCATGAGTATGCATATGGTAGAAGATAGTTTCGCAAATTTTATAAATATGCGGCAAACGAGTTCATATGTGAACACAGCGAACCCTCCACTGCCGAGATCATCTCCTTCCTCGATGCCATTGGCTACCAGTGGCCACTGAAGAAGGACTCCGACGCTCCTCTCAAGTCACTCTCGAATTAATGTCGCCAACATGAAGACCTTTAATCCATTGAACTTACCGCGCATATTGTGAAAACTATTAATGTCGCCAACATGAAGACCAAGTCTTTCCATTTTATTCCAACTATTAAAACCATCTGTTACAAAAGCATCACTCCCACATTGTCCTATGTAATGATCTCAAAACAAATAACAACACAAACAAAAAGCTCTATCCGTTTTTACACTATACTCCAACCAATTAGCGTATTGATCAAACAAAGCCGGACAAAAACGTCTTCCTTTACTCCCGACAAATTTTTTTGGAAATGCATGACCCCGTGGTTGACAAGGTCCTCTAAGCAAGTATTTTCTCCGTATTTCATCCCTTTGATTAGGATGATATTCTGAAATCTTTTTCCTGTCGGCTGGATCCCAAGGAAGATCGTTCAAATCAATTTCGTAGGGCATCAAAGGAGCAGAGCTCGATTCAGGTGTTGATGATTTCCTTTTAAAAAATCTTTCCATTTTTTTTCTAGCAATAACAATAACAAGATAAAAATCAATGATTTATCTTTATCAATAGTAACATTCTCATTTGCCTATAAAATTAACCTAACATTTTCATTTGATTTGCCTACAAAATTGCAAAATTAACCTAACATTTTCATTTGTCTATATAATTGCAAAATTAACCTAACATAAAGCATTTACCAAATCACCAATAAGCAAACAACAAAATCAAAGTAATTAAAAATTAAAGACTGGAATTTGGAAATTAGAATTTTTACCCAAATTAGAGTTGCTTCAATCCAGTCCACTATCCAGCCCAGGAAGCGCCGGAAGGAAGAAGCAGGCAACAGCGATGAAGATTGATGAAGAAGAAGAAGTGAAGATTGATGCAGCGAGTCAGCGATGGGTGACGAATACGTGAAGAAGATCGATGATTGATGAGCTGCTCAGTGGCGTGAAGTCGTGAACTGTCACCGTCGTGAGTCCGAGTCGTGTGAAGGCATGAAGGTTGAAGCGGGGAAAGGTAAGGGCTGAAGGCTTGAAGAGTGGGGCCTTTTATATTATCATGTTGGGGGCCCAATTGTATTAGATTAAAAACTACAAGTAAAAAAATTGGGCTTTGTAAAATATATTTTGTTAGGGGGCC